CCCCCATTCATTCAAAAAAATATGAATAAAAAGATACGGAGTACTGATAGAATTTAGGATGGGGTATGGACAACTGGATTGGGCAATAGACACTTGAGTTGAACCACATTAAAAGATTGAATCCAATCGATTAGTTAGTTCAACTCAAGGGCTTATATACCGGTTTATTTCCTCTTCAAGTTCCGATGTGGGATACTCTCTTTAACACTCCCCCTCAAGTGGACAACCGGGCCATTTTGAATCTAACCGGTTGACCACTTGCAAATAAACTCTCATTCCCTTGATTTTTTTTTGAGCGCCAACACCTAAAGACCACGAGCCGCTGGGTATGGACTTCCAGACGAGCAATCGTGTTACACGGGCCGCATGCCGTTGGGTACACACTCCATACGGACAACTGGGCTAAAGACAAACGGGCTGCTAGGAATGAACGTCTAGACGGACACCTTGACAAACGAGGTGGGCTAAAACTGGCTCCGATACCATGATAAAATTTAGGATGTGTATGGACTTGGGCTATAAGACACTTGGGTTGAACCACATTAAAAGATTGAATCCAATCGATTAGTTAGTTCAACTCAAGGGCTTATATACCGGTTTATTTCCTCTTCAAGTTCCGATGTGGGATACTCTTTAACACGATGTGGGATACTCTTTAACAAGTACTTACTAGCGATCCAATGATTCAACTAAATCTGAGCAAACAAAAGCTTTAAAATTGTGCATGTAATTTATGAAATTTTATTCCAAAAGCTCAGCTCACATATATATGGGTTTGTTTGACAAATGTGAGCTTAATTATACGAACTTATTGGAAGTAGTCTGGTGCCTACCTACGAACCTGCAAGTATGCATCAAGTTTGTGTTGCTGCTGCTTGCTGTTGTTTCTTTCTTTCTTTCTTTCTTTCTTTCTTTCTTTCTTTCTTTCTTTCTTTCTCTCTTAGCTTCCTCAGACGGTGTCCCAGAAGTCATTACAATATTTGGGGAAGCACCCATTGCAGACTACACCCATGGATTTCAACAGGATCGGTGTTTTACATTGCTTGCGGCAGAGCGGGCAGCGCACAGGGGACATATCATATTTCCTGGGCGCCACTAATCGGTCCGGCAGATTAATGTTCTCCCTCAAATTCCTGTCCAGTAGTCCCTCTCCTGCCGCCGCCTGGTCAAAAAACCTTCTTAGAGTCAACACTGCATCCTCCCCACCAGCAATGGCTAATTCCAGAGGGTCCAAAGAGCTTGTTACCGGCGTGACTTGACAGAACATTTTCCAAACATCACCAACCAACCTGTCCATAGGGATATGATCCAACCCCCCATTGCGGCATGCCATTCTCGCTCGACGCTTCCCAACACACCTTTTCACACTTGTCCCGGTTAAGTTTAGCCCAAGCACCAAAATGAGTTTTGGCATACCCTACTATTGTTGGGTCCCCGAGATTTTCTGATCCCGCAAACAGGCCTGCATATTTCAACTTGTGAAGTCCCAACTCCAACTTAGCGCCACTGTCGTACCGTTCCCTGTTTGCCGAGACCCAATTCAGTGCAGTGTCAACATCCATTGCCTTCAAAAGCTTCAGCATACATTTGCCCAGTTCAAATTGCTTGAGGAGCTCAGTTGGAACCACACCTGCTCTTTTCACATAGTACCTCGCCGCATAGAACAAGCCTTCCCTGTAGAAATGATAGACAATTATCTGGTTTATGAGCTGGGTGTCAAACCCAAGGTTTTCGTATGCCCTTTCAATCTTGGAAAGCAACACACCCACAGCTTCCAGGCTCCTTTCCACAACGAATTTCATCTTTGGATGTGATTCTGGTGGATTCATGTTGCGGAGCCTGTGGTTGAGCAACACACCCACAGCTTCCAGGCTCCTTTCGACAACGAACTTCATCTTTGGATGTGATTCCGGTGGATTCATGTTGCGGAGCCTGTGGTTGAGTTCAGTTAGGACTGCTATGGGGTCACCATCTGATAGATTCATGGCTGACATTTCCGGCTCAAGTTCTTGAAAACAACGATCCATCTCCATTCCCATTCCTAGGTCCATATCTGTCACTCAAACGATTTGGGGCAAATATATTTATATATGTAAATGATCATCATTCCGGAAGATGAAGATTCGGGCAGAAAAAAAAAGAAAAAAAAGATCCATATATCATTTCAAAAATATACAGAGAGATATAGAAAGTGCAGAGATTACTATGGCGCAGAGACCAGGAATTAATGGGTTAATCTTTGCATTCTGTATAAGCAAAACTCACCTTGTTCAGCAGGTTGCAAAAAAACCAGAAATTACTGGACAGTTTATCAAACCCTAAAACCGCAAAAAAAAAGGTAATCATCAGGATTAGATTAATCGCATTGATCATTTGAATGCGCGCAACTCAGAAACAACGAGGCTAGAAACACGAGCTTATCATTAAATCCAGATCTCAATAAAGAAAAAACCAAAGCCATTGTAAGATCGCACAGCGAAGCACTTGAAATCCGAGAAAAATGAAATGATGTAACCAGAAACCAAAGCCAATTACGTCTTGAAATGAAATACGGTTACGTACTTACGTGCATATAGAAAAAGGACTCAGATCACCTGTGTGAAGCGATCGATTCTTGCCGAAGAGGTGACTATCGGCGGACGGCGGAGACCGGCGGACGGTTTGGTGTAAATAAAGCTAATGAACCGGAGCCTTTAAAAAAGTAATCTTCTCATACGGAGTAGATGATTTCTAATCCACAACATTATTATATACGGAGTATAAAAATTCCACATTTGAAAATTACAAGTAAGTTTTAATAAGAATATATTGATATTATAATATCTTCCCGTAGTAATGTATTTTTTTATATAGTTGAATCACAGTTTATAAATTTTGATTAAGAAAAATTAAATGCGAAGAACATTTTCAGTTGAAAGGGATATACACATTGTTTTTTATTCTATGTGGACATTTTAACATATTTTATTTTTAAGATCTCTAAATGTCTTATTGTTTATTGAATTACATAATTTATGTTTTGTTTTAATTTTACGTAAATTTGAACTGTTTTATATATCTATACATTGTTAATAATTACTACGAGAACAAAAGAGCTTTTTCATTGTGTTTTTAAAATTTTTAAAAATGTTTTAAAAAATAAAAATTGTTGGTGTTTGAAATATGAAAAAATTAAAACATACTTCATTTGTCTCAAATTAAATATTTTTATTTTTTCTAAAAACTATTCTTAGTTTTTCTTAATATCTTAAGACCAAAAGAATACAAAGTAAAGTCTTTTTTATATTTATTTAATTACATATTCATAATATTCTTTTTGAATCCATGCGTAAAACATTTTCTTCATAACATAATTTTCTTATTCTACAAAAATATTTTTCATATACTTTTCTTCTTCTTCAATTTTGTTTCTATTATTTTTTTCTTTTATTTTTAATTTAATTTAAAAAAAGAAAATTTATAATTTGTTTTTCAATCATGAAGAGAAAAATGATTAAAAACTAGAAAATGCGGTGTAGAAAATTTTAAAATTTTTCATTGATTTTTGTATCATGAAAATGAACCAAATAATAATCTCTTTTTGAAAAAATAAGATTTTTTAATTTGAGACAAATAAAGTGTAAGTAAATTGTTTTTATTTTTATGAATTTTTTTATTTCAAATGTATCTTTTTATTAAATCATTACGTTGTATAAAAATAGTTTTAAAAAATAAAATTAAAACATTTACGAAAAAGTTTTAAAAAAAGATCTTCAAAAATATTGATGGAAAAAAATAGAAGAAAAAAGAAAAATAATAAAGAAAAAAAGTGAGAGGGCCAGGGGTGTTGGTGCTTATTTCTAATATCATAAGAGACAGTCGTTATTCATTTAATATTTGAAGAGTATTTTAGTCTAGAGAGGCATCATTGTATGAATATTAAAACTATAGGCTATGGAGTAACAATGTAAACTTTGAAACCATGGAGAATAACGGTGCACGTACATTTTACAAATCATAAGAGGCCGGTATTGGTGCAATAAACTCCAAAAGAAAATATAATTTGATGATACTACAAATAGTAACCATGTATGTATGTGTCTTTTATTTTAGGAGACCAAATGAGTAAAAAAAGAATCCAGTTCCTTGTTGTGGTTGTTCTAAACAATTCATTCCTTACTTTATCTCCAATGAAAAGTAATCCATCTTTTAAAAACAAACTTCATTCATAATGCTGCATCCTGTTTCATCATCATCATCATCTATATATATACATTAATTATCTTACAACACAGAAAATTAAATACAAATAACCTAAGATATAATTAATATACAAAAATTAAATACAATGGAGATTTCTTTATTATTTGGGAGGAAGAATAATAATGATATAATTAGGATAATGGGGTGGGTGGCGTTAGTGACGATGGGGGTGGGATGCAAAATGTGGGGAGTAGAGGGACTGGGGTGCAATTTGGGGTCGAGGGCCTCCCACCCGCTGCCGCCGGACATAGTGGTGAAGCTGATGAGAGACAACGGCTTCGACAAGGTGAAACTGTTCGAGGCGGAGGCTCCGATGATGCGGGCGCTGGGGAGGTCGGGGATTGAGGTCATGGTCGGGATCCCCAACGACATGCTCGCCGCCATCGCCGCCAGCGTCTCCGCCGCCGAGGACTGGGTGGCGCACAACATCTCCTCCTTCATCTCCAACGATGGCGTCGACATAAGGTCGCTATATATTTCAATCAAAATTTTGATCAAAATGTTAACACAATTAAGGAATTTTTTCAAGGGTGGAGGTGGGGTTTAACAAAATTAGAGCTAGAAATTAAATAATTTTTGATTTGAATAGAGTTTGTAGGTACTCAATTTTAATTTGTGTCTTCGTCCAAGTCAAAACAAAGATGTGTGCTGTGCACAAACAATTACTTCATTTTTTCTAAAATTAATTTTTCAATTATTTTTTAATGGTCTCTAGCACAACACTTTCACTATTAATTTATCTACTTATATATAAATATATAATATAAAATAAATATTTCAAAATTATATTTTAAACTAAATATATTGATATTAAAATTATATGAAAATTAATTATATATTTTTTTAATAATATGTAGTTATAGTTCAAAGCATTTGAGCATGAAAGACAAGCACAAACCCGAACGGGTAGCCCAAGTGGCAAACACTTGGTGAAGTTTGGAGAATGACCAAGGATCGAAACCTGGTAGCGACCGTTGTGGAGGCGACCACCTCTGAAAAATGGGGGGAGTCTCTGGTGCGCACTAGGATATGGTCTAGCTGAGTGTTGTGCTTGGGTCACCGTGATTTACCTCCTCTCACATTTCCGTCGGGTCGGGAGTGAGGGGCGCCCGGGGTGAGCGATTTCACCTTTTGGAGAATGAAAGACAAGCACAAAAGTTAGTTTTTGGAGGGATGAAGTATTCTTTTTTATGTGCGTCTATGCTATATTTGATGTGTAAGTTAGGATACAACATTGTGTACATAACACTATGTTTGGTTCAAAGAATTTGAGAGATAAAAGAAAAGAAAATGAAAAGGAAAATATTTTATTTGTTTGGTTAGAGAGGAAAAGAAAAGAAAAGTGAAAGAAAAAGAAAAAGATAAGGCAAAATGTAATAAGAGGAAGGAAAACCAAATTCCTCCCATTTTGGTGAGAAAAATGAGGAAAAATCATTTTCTTTTCTTTTCCTACCAAATTGTTTGAACCAAACGTAGTGTAACTTGTTTCAAAGATAAGTGATGAGCCCTATTCTCAATCAACCATGCTAGGTGTATTTCAAAAATTATACTCATTCCGTCCCCCTAAAATGTTCTCATTTTGATTTTTGGTGGTTTTAAAGAGAGTTGAAAAAGGTGAAAATTTACCATAATACCCTTAATGAAAAATGGGTGGAGTGTATTAAATGAGGTGGGTGAGGTGTAATAAATAAAGTAAGTGGGGGTAGTTGTGGTATTTTAATTGTTAAAAAATGAAATGAAAAAATCTATTGTGGACAAAGAAAAAGAACTATTGAAAAATCTATGGGGGACGGAGGGAGTACTTCGCACTGATATTTTATATTATTGTAAATATCAATCTCACACTTACTCAAATTAGTCAAGTACAAAATAAAAGTGTAAAGTTTTGAAATAGATTTTGACATAGAAATACTAGGTATTTAAGATAAAAGTATATACTCCGTATTTATTGATTGTCAAATGTCAATTGTTTGTTTTTTTTTTTGTTTTATGGTTTCAATTTTCAAAGGTACGTGGCGGTGGGAAATGAACCTTTCCTGAAGACGTACAAAGACAAGTTCGTGCAAACCACCTTCCCGGCGCTGAAGAATATCCAGGCGGCGCTGATCAAAGCGGGTTTGGGCCGTCAGGTGAAGGTCACCGTCCCACTCAACGCCGACGTGTACGACACGTCCACCGGCGTTCCTTCCGGCGGCCATTTCAGGCCCGAAATACAACCCCTCATGCTCTCCATCGTCAAGTTCCTCAGCGACAACGGCGGCCACATCACCATCAACATCTACCCTTTCCTCAGTCTCTACGCCGATCCCCACTTCCCCGTCGATTACGCCTTCTTCGACGGCGCGTCGAGTCCGGTGGTCGACGGATCCACCGTCTACACCAACGTCTTGGACGCCAATTACGACACTCTGGTTTGGGCCCTGGAGAAATCCGGGTTCGGGTCTCTGCCCATCATCATCGGGGAAGTCGGGTGGCCCACCGATGGCGATAAGAATGCAAATCTGGAGTACGCCCGGAAATTCAATCAGGGGCTGGTGAATCGGATAATCCAAGGCCGCGGCACCCCGAAGCGGCCGTCGTCTCCGCCGGACACGTATCTGTTCGGGCTGATCGACGAGGACGCTAAGAGCATAGATCCGGGGAACTTCGAGAGGCACTGGGGATTGTTCTATTTCGACGGCACGATCAAGTACCCGCTCGATTTGGGCAACAATCGGAATCTGACGGCGGCGAGGGGCGTCCGGTACTTGCCCCGGCAGTGGTGCGTTTTAGCGCCGGAGGCCAATTTAGAGGACCCCGCCTTGGGCGACGTCATCAGCTACGCCTGCGGCTTGGCCGATTGCACGAGCCTCGGCTACGGCTCCTCCTGCGGCGGCCTGAACGCCAGGGGGAACGCTTCCTACGCGTTCAATATATACTACCAGACGATGAACCAGAGGAACGGCGCGTGCGGCGACCAGCTGCACAACTTCGGGACGGTGACGAAGATTGACCCGTCGCCGCCGCGGCCGACGCAGGGCGGCGGCGCGTGCAGGTTCGAGGTCATGATAGACACCGGCGGCAAGCGAGAAAGGAGGAGGTCTCCTTTTCCCGGCACTTCTTCCGCCGGGAAGGGAATTGTTTCTTCTTCAAGTCTTGTTGTTGTGGCCGTACAAGCGGCGGCGCTCACACTCTTGGGGTTCATAATGTTTCCATGATTTTCATTTCTAGTTGCGGAGTACTCCTATGATTCATACTTTATCGGGCCAAAATTAATACTCCGTATTATTGATAAGATTTGATACAAAATTTAAGAAAGACTTGAATGTGTGTGTGTGTTGGATTGTTTGGATAAAGGCCCAACATGCTTTGGGTCGCCCAAGTAACACAAGAACTCGATGGCCTACCGAGATGTGTCCCGACCATCAGCCGGGACGGAGTTGCACTCGAGGCACACTTAAGATCCACCAGGTTCAATCAGAAGTAAGGCGAAAAACGGAGTAGGAATCACCCTCAGCTCGCTCAGGCCAATTACTTTGGTCTCAACTATCCATCATGACTTCCGTACAAGTGTACAACACATTAAATGTAAAGGCGAAATCTGACACGCGTGCCTGCCGACAACGAGCGTGCTACGACATCGATCATTATTTATCTAGCTTATATTTCTTGTTAATTATCTCTAAGATCTCGTCTGTATAAATAGGCGATGGAGGGAAGGGAAGTATGGATCACATTCTAGAGAGAGAAAGCAACAACATCAGGTTAAAGGAAACCATTGCAGCCAAAGCCATCAAGCCTCCCATTTTGTAACTCCATACCCAAATGATATACTCCCTCCGTCCAAAAAAGAACTTCCCGGTTTGACCGGGCACGCAAATTTATGTGTGATGAAAATTGTGTTGACTTTCCCATTATACCCCTTAGCCTTTTTGCCCTGTACACCCCTGTACTCTCCCACTGACTGATGCCATCTACCACTGCCGACGCCGGCACTTCGGCACCACCACCGCCGGCACTTCAGCACCACCGCGATGGTGCTTCCT